CATTGGTATTTCTAGGTAATACAGAATTTCTAATAATATTTAGCAACATAGTTGGCAGCCTGTTTTGCGACGTGTTACGCGGAATTAGTTTACGAGTGCCAAACTATTTATTTTAGTTCTATAAACACTTGTGTTTTCATTCGAAGATAGTATGTGCGACCTTTGACACTTTAGTAAGTGACAACTAGTGTTCGCCAAAATCTAAAGTGCCACATACATTTCTTGGCCGGCGGCTGAAATTGGTACTACCGTCGCCATTTTGAAATGTCAGACTGACATTATCAGTTAGCTCTTAAATACAACTAGGGGCCTCATAGCCTAGCGGCCTTATTAAGTGGCAGCTAGGTGAGAGGTACCGGGTTCGATTCCCGGTTCGAGGGCAAGTTTTAATTTAATTTAAATTTGTTCTCGGCCTTTGGGAGGGTTGTGCGTTACCGGGCGAGTGCTTAAACCGTACATGGAGGACACGGTCGAATTTCTAAAGACAAGCACGAATTATAAAAAATCCTATACTTGACGCTGGCTAATGCACAAATCGTGCCAGAGCCATTTAAAGAAAAATACAACTATCTACCAACATCTAATAAAAATCCAACTAAAATGTTTTTATTTTTATTCATTCCATTATTAATTACAATGACATAGTTTTAATTATCTAACAGTTCTGTTTGCTAGGTATCTTAAAATATATTATTTATTTATTATTACACACTAACGAAACACATACAAACACTTACAGAGAACACATAACATAGAAAACAAGATAGTCAAATCGCGACGGTATTTAAAGGTTTTTTTAAAAAGTAAACTTTATTAAAGAATTTTACACTTAGTATTATTAACTATAGTCGATGTTAGACTCTAATTCTAAGGTGGTCGATGTTAGACCCTAATTCTAAGGTGGTCGATGCAAGACCCTATTACTACGGTGGTCGATATTAGACTGGCTTTAATATAATTCTATTCTTACTGCTAAAAACCCTTACATGATAACGAAGCATTCGTGGTACATGATAGAATAATAAAACTAAGCATTCATTGTAGTGATTGCATTAACGCTTATGGTGCGTTCTGGGTATATGTGTGACATTGTAACTAGATACCTGCATGTGCATCAATAACAAGTGAGCACAACATTTAAAGGGAAACATTACAATGATGAAGAGAAATAACTTCAACATTAAAAGTAAAAAACAAACTAGATTTAAAAAATGGTGCGTGTACTTATGTACGCGCGTAAGAAGTTATACTTCTTTGGCATTATTAAAAATAGTTTTTGATTGCATCCAATTATTAATTACAATTAAATAATCGAAGAGTGGAAAAAGAGTCATTATAGTCAATGAAGTTCAGTTACGAAAATTAAAAAAAAACATAAATTCTATTATTATTCGAATGTTGTTTTTAAATTATGTCCATAGCCGTAGAATCTTCCGTGGGCAACTTCATTCTGTTAATTTTGTGTCACGGTGCGCGCGCTTCGTAAAATTTCACTCTCATCAATTTTTCATAACGCGCCATGGAATTTACAAATATATATCAAAAATATTATATTATATTAATAATACAAGTAACAAAACCTATTATATCAGTTTTTTCCTAAGTTTGTGTTACCTTTAAGCCTAGAACTGTATTTTCTAGACACTAGTATACATTGTTTTATTAAGACATTTCAATTAATTAAATTATCATGAAACAGATTCAGAAATCTGAGGCCTAAAGAGGTTGTGGCGCCACTGATTTGTTTATTTATTTTTTCTTGAAGAACCTTAAGTCGAATTGGTTCGGGAATCGTTCAGTAGGCAGCTTCAGTTGTGCCTGCCTTAAAATACCTCAGTTGATGAACGACGGACGGATGAATACGGGTAGAATTTCGATTCCTCCACGTCCGATGATAAAACTCATCTCCAAGTTAAACGAACACCTCCTCTGAACACAGGATTTTTCTCAACTCTAAATGCATCTGTGGCTCATTTTAAATTCGGAACACGATGACATAACATGTGTCATGCGAGTTATTTTTGGCGCGAACGGTCGTCGACTTCGCCCACTAACCTTTCACATGTATCATGCGTTCATAATGTACTGATGGATTATTTATGATTAAATATCTCCACAAAGTCCTCCTGCTGGAGGAGACCTTTGCCCGTTAAGGGTTTGTGATCAATGGTACTGAAGGAAGATCGTCATAGTCCTAGAATAGTGACGGATCTGACAAATAGTAAACTTTACAAGGCAGCCATTTCAAAATAATATAATCATGTAAGTTTTTGTCATAACTATTTTAACTCATATTCTGTTATTATGAAAAATGGCATACAAGCAAACAAAACGGTTTGTTTTGAAACAAAATAAAAATACTAACATTAAATTACACAGTTTTCTAGAAAATTCACACGCGTGCGTACCTATCTAATCCGTCACTACCGACTGATTAATTTGAAATTTAAAACACATGGATTTTTTTATAGTAGCCGCAATATTTAGTCAATGTAGTATCCAAATATGATAAAAAGTTGATTTTGTTTTTTTTTTCAAATCCTACATTGTTCTACGACGTGACGAAATGTATATTCTACTTTTGTAATAATTGCAAATTAAACGGGCTTTTATTATTCTGTTAAACTTGTCGTGTTGATTCGTTGAAGGACCATCGTTCGTCACTCTTTGGATCCAGCAGATGCCAACTTCATTAATCTATGGAACCAGTGAGACAAACCTTTTTAGTATTTGTTTGCGCAAAAAGTATTTAGTAAAAAAACAAAGTCACAACGCCTCGGTTAACAAGTAAAACTTCGCTTTTCAGCGAAATCATTATTGTCGGCGCTCGAGTAAAGTGCAATTCTTTGTGAAAACGATGAAAACGGATCATTTTCCTCAAAACAATAGAGCGCGGAAATGAAAACATTTTTAGGTCGAGATTTTCACAAATAGGTTCACAGATCAATCTAGATGGTACTGTTACTAGATTTATGGCGATAAAGTCTATCTGGGGGCACGGCAGTGCGCGAGTCGATCGAAAAAAGCGGCACATATAGAGCAGTGATGGCCTAGTGGCTTCAGCGTGCGACTCCCAGAAGCCGTACGTTCGATTTCTGGCTGTGCACCAATGGACTTTCTTTCTATCTGCGCATTTAACACCCGCTCAAACTGTGAAGAAAAGGAAGAAGAACAAGGTTCGATTTGATTAAAGACATAATAGAAGATTGTTAGTTAATGTTAAAGTTTTGAATCGAGGGTTTTTTGAGATTGTAGTTATAATACTTAAGAATTGAATTTTTCTTTAATTAGTATAAGTTACATTGTAATATCGATATTTTTGACGTGACAACATCTAATAAATCGATGAACACCGGCGCACGCACGAAAATACCTCATTGTCCAGTTACGCTGATTGTCCCATTACGCCTATTGTACGCTGGCGCCGCACCTATCTCTCGTCCACTCGAAAACTTAAGTATGCAATCATTTCATCAATGTTTTGTTATGACGTTGTCACGTTAAACTATCGTCCGTGAACCGACTTTACAGAGAAGTATTTATTTAAAACCCTTTGACATCTGCAGGTCTCTGCCTAAACGTTTTTGCTAGTAGTACCGAGGCAGCTAAGAATTAAATTTACAATGAGGACCTAAATTTCATATTCTATACATATTTAAAGAAACCTTTCTCACCTTCAAATTTTAGTACCACTGTTCATTTTGTATGCATTAAACGGAAACATCAGACATTACCTTTAAATTTTCTAGTTGAACGTTTTTTAAATGATTTTCATCATAATAGGCAGCTACCGCTAATGTACACCACAAGTTGTGTTGCCGGCCTTTCAGAGAGGAGTAGGTACTTTACATTTAGATGAATCAAATCACATAAAATCCGACTCCCATACTTATAGATTTTTATGTATTTTACTCGCTCGTATGAAGGACCAAAAAATTCAACAGTGTAGGCACAGCAGCCTGTTCGAGACTTTTCTTTCGATTTAACGACAAATCCCCTAAAGCGTCGAAATCACTCACCTTTTTTTGGTTTAGCTTGTCTTCCATACAATGATATACTCTACATAGCATTGCACCCTCAATAACGACAACAATTAAATACTAAAAAGTACTTTGAACTTTTCAAGTTGGCAAAATTAGTTAAAATTGCGGAGCTGTGTACGTTGTTTTGTCGCTTGCCCTAGCGAGAAATAAACTCGACTGTCGGTACTAGTCATACGTACCAAACTTTCCAAGAATTCCGTTCTTTTTTACTGAATATGCTTTATCATGAAGATACCCCAATATCGCAAGTTATAAATTGAATAAGAAAATAAGTACTACCTAACTACTGGTACAGTACAAAAATAACAAACGCAATAGAGTCCAAATACGAATTGTTTTTATGTTATTACTAACACTAATAATAACATAAAGCTTGGTGTGCTCTGCAAGGCGAGACGGTACTGCACTCCGGGCCACCGCTTGCAACTGTATAAAGCACAAATTCGGCGCCACATGGAGTACTGTTCTCACCTCTGGGCGGGGGCTCCCCAGTACCAACTTCCACTTGACCGTATTCAACGAAGAGCGGTTCGAATCGTCGACGACCAATCCCTCTCCGAGCGGCTTGATCCTTTGGTGTTGCGTAGAGATGTGGGGTCACTCTGCATCTTCTACCGCATTTACCATGGAGAGTGTTCGGACTAAGTTTCATCATCGGTCGGCAAGGCAGAATACGAAATTCCACCCGTATCACCTCGACGTCCGCCGTTCCACAACTGAGCGTTTTTCAAGACAGTTTTTGCCACGCACCACTACTTTGTGAAACCAGCTGCCCACTGAAGTAAAGGTCAGCTACGCACTGGCGAGCCTCCTGGCAATGTAAGTGTCCATGGGCGACGGTATCACTTAACATCAGATCAGCCTCTCCAAGTTTTATATTAAAAGTAACAATCTTTATAGGGCAAAACTTGCTGCGTCAGCCAGTATGTATAATTAATGTATGGTTTTGACTTACAGGAATGTCCCGACGGCGTGGTGCACGAAGAATCGTTTAAGGATATTTACGCGAAATTTTTTCCTCATGGCAGTAAGTATAGCATTTTTTGGTCAAAAGTCAAAATCATTTATTCATATTGTATACTTATGAACGGTAAAAAACAAAATATGTATCAAATGCTTCTAATTTTACATTTACTGTCAGTTCTCAAATCAAGGGCGTAGAACGGATGAGAAGAACTGGCAATAATCTCTCCAACACTCTTTTTAATTGCCAAGTTTTTTGTTTTACACAACGTTTGTAAGGAGCTGCAACCATTACACCATGTTCCACATGACATCTTAAATAATTAATGCACTCATTAACTAATGCAGTACCCATACATATTAGACGATAACAACTTTTATAACTTTTTTAATCGTTATATCTCAGAAACGGTAAAACTTACCGTTTTGCTGAAAATCGCGAAAAATTCATTTTTTTGACCTTTGACATTCAATAAAAAAAATTCCATACACGGCAATGATGTTGAACTTTTAAATATTATTTAAAGTTATGTTTTGAATAATTTTAGTGATTTACAGCTTGTTAAGACTTTATGTAGCTTAGAATGTTTAAATTGACCGGACTATTAATAATAATTAAAAAGAAATGGACATTTTGTTATTTTAGCATGCATCTTATACATATTGATATTTACTATTTCATTCACGTTCACGTTGGAGTTCAGTAGACTTGTGACAAGAGGCTTATGATAGCTAAAGTATGATACTAATATTCTTGTAGAAACACTGTCTTAATATCGTCCAAATAGAGCTTCAATAGCTGTATAAAAAAACTAAAATGTTGACTATAGCTAACTTCAGGGTGTCGGTTTTGTGTGACGCATTGTAAAAACTCTCATCATTTCTCCCTAACTCAAAAAAAAATTTGATTATAGCTAACTTCAGGGTGTCGATTTTGTGGGACGCATTGTAAAAATTTACCCTCATCATTTCTCCCTAACGCGCCAAAAGAAGTATAACTTCAAAAAAACTAAAATGTTGACTATAGCTAACTTCAGGGTGTCGGTTTTGTGTGACGCATTGTAAAAATTTATCATTTTTCCCTAACGCGCCAAAAGAAGTATAACTTCAAAAAAACTAAAATGTTGACTATAGCTAACTTCAGGGTGTCGGTTTTGTGTGACGCATTATAAAAATTTATCATTTTTCCCTAACGCGCCAAAAGAAGTATAACTTCAAAAAAACTAAAATGTTGACTATAGCTAACTTCAGGGCGTCGGTTGTGTGTGACGCATTGTAAAAATTTACTCTCATCATTTATCCCTAACGCGCCAAAAGAAGTATAACTTCAAAAAGACAACAGAACTCAAAACGATAGTGTTATATCATTAAAACAATATCCAAAAGCGAAAGTGTCACAAAAGTCCGCTTCACCCTGATAAAATTTTTATCGTAATAAAAGGATTTGTTTATTATTTCAGATTCAGCGCTGTACGCCCATTATGTTTTCAAGGCATTCGATGTCAACTGCAGCGGTGCAATAAGCTTTCGGGTAAGTTTTAAATGAGGCTTAAGTTTCTATACTGTTCTGTTTCCCTTGCTAGTTTATCTATAATATAAAAAAAATGTGTGCATGTACTAGGTGTACACACGTAAGAAGTGAAACTTCTTTATGACCTTATTAGAAACTATTTCTTTAAACACAGTAAATTTTGATACACTTACAAATTAATTGCTGCACATTTCAGGTCGAAAATGTAATCCGTTGTCAAACTTCAAAGTCAAAAACATACTATATGTCATATTTTAACGCCGATAAAGAAGTTTGACTTCGAAAATGTAATCCGTTGTCAAACTTCAAAGTCAAAAACATACTATATGTCATATTTTAACGCCGATAAAGAAGTTTGACTTCGAAAATGTAATCCGTTGTCAAACTTCAAAGTCAAAAACATACTATATGTCATATTTTAACGCCGATAAAGAAGTTTGACTTCGAAAATGTAATCCGTTGTCAAACTTCAAAGTCAAAAACATACTATATGTCATATTTTAACGCCGATAAAGAAGTTTGACTTCGAAAATGTAATCCGTTGTCAAACTTCAAAGTCAAAAACAAAATCATCAAACTTAAAGGCTAAAATTGTTACCATAGCTACTTTCCATAGCGTTATGTCGTACGGATTTTACTGTGGGTCTGCAAGGTTCAATCCATATTTGTGCTGCAGAAGGGGCTGTTCGGGGTATTTGTTGTGTTTTCCAATGTAAATAAGTTTAAGGAATTAAATATTATGAACTATCTGGTCAATATATTCTCTGAAGCCTTGTTGCCAAAAATATAAACGATTTTAAAACAAATGGTGACTTTTACCAGTAAAACGCGAAATAGAACTAATTTGAGTGTACGACCAACCAGGTCCAAAAGATAAACCCTCCTTATATGGAAATTGTATTCGTTTTTACAACAAGCTCCCAAGAAATTAAAAAAAAAAAACAAAAATAAACAAAGAAGAAAATTAATCAAAAAGTTTAGTTGTTTCCTTTTTTTTTTTTTTCCAGTTAAAAATTTTATAAATATTTTAAAAGATGCGGAAAGTTTTTTTTTTTATTTATTGCGAATGGTAGTAAATGTAAATTTAGATTAATTTAATTGAGATTCAAAATTATGTTACTACTTGAATAAAGATATTTTGAGTTTGAGTTTGAGTTTGAGTATACTATATGTCATATTTTAACGCCGATCAAGAAGTTTGACTTCAAAAAGCAACATGGCGCGTAACGGAAAAATGTGACGCGTAACGCAAAACTGTTACACTAAATTTTTTTCCAAACCCGATAAAGAAGTTTCACTTCAATGAATCGCAAAATGTGTTGGTAAGCATAGTCAAAACTTTAACGCTAAATTTATTTGGTTTTATTATACATGCGTCTTTAAGTATTACGTAAGCACTAGGAGTGAGGGAGGGGGTTTCTTTGATTTTCTTATGCGCACAGCATTACTCAACAACGCCTGGACCAATTTGACCAATTCATTTTTTTATAATATTCCTTGAAGTACGAGGATGGTTCTTACGGAGAGAAAAATTAAAAAAAATGAGTGAAAAAGTCTAAAAACAGCTTTTCTATATTCCCATACAAAATATTCGTAATAATACTTAAAAGTCAATTTGAACTTTAATACCATATCATAAAGGTCAAGTGTTAGTGGAGGGGTTCCGGGAAGGTAAATTTAAATTTTTTGACACAATGTTTTTGTTGTCTTATCAACTTTCTTTTTTTTATCTTACTAGCTAGACCGGTATCCCGAATAGCAGAATAAGTATTTAAAAAAAATAAGAATCGACTGTTAGGCGGTACGATGTTCGCCAGGCCAGCTAGTATTCTAATATAATTGATGTGTGTGTTGTTTAAGATGTCATATGTTCTTGTATGCATACACGTTGTTTTAGAACTTAAAAATTAACATATTTTTGTCGTATAACTAAACACCTATTATACTATATACTACTATATATACATTGAAAAACCGACGAGTATCAGTGAAGTTTGACTTCAATAGCAATGGGTTGGGCTTTAAAGAGCTTCAGCGTGCGAATCTCATGCCAGGAGGCACACAAGTGCACGCTAGTGAAGGAAAACGGTGAAGGAAACCGGCTAGACGACGGCGTGTGTCAGGCACAGAAGCCTGATCACCTACTTGCCTATTAGATTGACAAATCATGTAACAGATACAGAAATCTGAGGCCCAGACCTAAAAAGGTTGTAGTTTCGGTAATTTATATTATTTTTAGCAGGAAAGATTGACATTACAATGAAACATCTTCACAGTATTAAGGAATATTTTTGAAGTGAAACTTCTTTAGGCGCATGAGGGTAAATTTTTACGAAAACGTCACGTGGATGTGCAGCGCTTTGTCGAAGAAAAGGGAGAAAGCGATTGAGACTGATTGAGAGAGAGTGAGAAGGGCCATATCGCCATACAGCGAGAAAGTACTGCCAGCGGGACCAAAGTTTTTAAATTTGTTCTAATTTTCTTGGTATTATTTCATCATGAAATGAGGTTATTGGTAAAACTAGCAATAAATAATGTTGTTTACGAATGATAACAATGCGATAACGCCGAAAGTTTTCCTACAGTTTTCCACGCTTTTCCTTAATATACGATTTATGTTCGTGTTTGTTCCCCAAGTCTGCGCATTGTTTGTTATTGTTTTGTACCCATTGCCGAGGTATTTTTGTCAAAACTTTAACGTTAAATTTATTTGTTTTTTTATACATGCGTTTTTAAGTATTACGTAAGCACTATAAGGGGGGGTTTCAACGGTAATTATTAACTTTTTTACACATATTATCCACACATTGTCTATGCTTGAAAACGAAATGCACTTACGAGGATTCCTACAAAAAATTAATACGTTTATGTACTTTTTGAGAGCTTTGCTTACTTTTGCTGACAAGAGGAAGGGGAGGGAAATAAATTGCAGTAAATTTGTTTACGTAATACTTGAACGGCCCCTTACTAAGACATCGTGGAACTTACGATCTAGTCGAACTTAAGACTAATAAGTAATTTAAGTCTAACTTAATAATAAAGGATATTTAACATAAGAACGTGTCCAACACAACTTACAGTCTCTATTAAAGGGTAGACACTCTGTTCTTGTGTTCTATTTTTGTAGTGTTTAGCACTTAATACTAACGTGCACTAACATTTTACAAACAAATCTATTTGTGATACAAATAAGGGTATAGTGCAAAAATTCTATTTTAATTGGTGACCTACTAAGCGAACTGTAGGTCGTAGCAGATGCTACGCCACGTAGCGTTTGCTACGCCACGTAGCGGTTTCTACGGTAGCGGAAACATGCGTGTGGTCAATTTGTGATATATAGCTACGCTCTAGCAGTATCTACGCCGTAGTACATCCGTTTCCATACTTTGAAATTCTATTTTCCCCAATTATAACTAAGGAATAATATAAAAAATGTGTGCGTGTACTAGGTGTACACACGTAAGAAGTGAACCTTCTTTATGACCTTATTAGAAACTATTTCTTTAAACACAGTAAATTTTGATACACTGCCTAGCATACAATTTACAAATTAATTGCTGCAAATTGCGATTAGCAAATTTCAAGTCGAAAATGTAATCCGTTGTCAAACTTCAAAGTCAAAACATACTATATGTCATATTTTAACGCCGATAAAGAAGTTTGACTTCAAAAAGCAACATGGCGCGTAACGGAAAAATGTGACGCGTAACGCAAAAATGTTACACTAAATTTTTTTCCAACCCCGATAAAGAAGTTTCACTTCAAAAAAATATCAAAACCTTATACGTTTGAGTTAATATAGGTTATAACTATGCAAAAACGTTTTATAAATCTTATAATAATTCTATCAGGCCAAGGAATAAGGACAAAGTATTTATTAGTGTTGGCCTAGTGGCTTCAGCTTGCGACTCTCATCCGAGAGGTGGTGCGTTCGATCTCCTGCTGTGCACCAATAGACTTTCTTTCTATGTACGCATTTAACATTCGCTCGAACGGTGAAGGAAAACGTCGTGAGGAAATCGACATGACTTAGACCCAAAAAGTTGACGTTCAGGTCAGGCACTGGAGGCCGATCACCTGCTTTCCTATTAGATTGACAAATGATCATAAAACAGAAACAGAAATCTGAGACCCAGACCTGAAAAGGTTGTAGTGCCACGTTTTATACACAAGTTTATATATCCTTGAAGCAGTAATGACTGTAGAAAGCATTTTTAACAATGTTTTCTTTCACGTTTGAGCGAATTGTCAATGCGCACATCGGCAGGTGGCACAGCCGGGGATCAAACCTACGACCTCAGGGATGAGACTCACACGCTGGAGCCACTATGTATAGCCTTTTCTTATACGTTTATAACAACAATTAATGGGTGAATTCTTCATTAATAAATGGCTGGCGCGTTTAATTTTCACAAACTTGTTTCTAACTAGAACTAATTTTTTTAATTAAGTAACTAATTTTTTTAATTAACTAACTAATTTTTTTAAATAATCCTGCAAAGACAGTTCTAAAACTGAATAATTATGAACGCGTTAAAACGAGACAAGCCCTTGCCATTTTAGGTCAGGCTAACTTACGTAATAGGCCTAAAGCAAGGACGGAAATAATTACCAACGTTGAGGCAAATTAGTTTTGATTATATTAAAAATATTCAAATTCAAATCATTTATTCATTTAGGTAACACAATGTACACTTACGAACGTCAATACATATTAAATGCTCCTAATTTTACATTTACTAAAATGCTTACCATAAAATTTATGTTAAATGTTAGGTAATAATTTATAGTTTAATAGTTTAAGCTTTATTAGATTAACAATTAAGTTTAATACATACACAGACACACACTAACGCACAGACACACACACATACCCCATGTGGTTTCCTTATATTTGTATCCTTATAAAATAAAATGTTGTTTACGTTGCAGCCTATGTAATAATGACTGTTTATTCTCACTAATTTTTTCTCTACTTTATAAGACCTTCTGTCGATCCGAAGTGGTGGAGGCCTGATGACCTGTAACACTGGTACTCTTACCTTTAGCAGGTATTTCACTCAAACCATCATTTACCCTAAATAGAAGTAAGATTTTTCTTTTTTTTCTGCTCTAAGTGGCAACAAACTTCTGTAATTTTATTTTATTTGATTGTGTGCTTTTACTATCGTATATGTTTTAATTGTATTTTTTAATTTCTATTTAATTTTTTTTGTAAAACTTATGCTTACATTAATTGGCACACATTATAGATGTGAGATTTTGTAAAATAATTGGTAATTTTGGTACTGTGTGTGCTGTCGTGGGCTTAATAACTAAATAAATAAATAAATAAGACAAATATTTATTTATAATTGTATTATAACTGTCACTTGTTTATGTACTAAGTTTTTGTGAGAAGAAATGAATGAAGATTATTATTATTCAGTGCCAGTTCTCAAATCAAAGGCGTAGAATGGACGAGAAGAACTGGCAATTAACTTTCCGCCACTCTTTTTAATCGCCAAGTTTTTTGTTTTACACAATATTTGTAAGAAGCTGCAACCATTACACCACATGACATCTTTAAGTAAATAATTGTTAATTAATAATAAAAAACAAAAAAGATTTGTCCTCTATCATAGTAGGCATGGTGAAATAGGAGCACGCACTTACATTCTCGTGGGAACGACACGTAAATATATAGTCCAAACAACTAACAACATACACGAATTCAAGTACGACCAGTCACCACAAGTAGCACCCGTTCACGAGTAATACGCATGGCCAGCCATCGGCTGACTTAATACACGATTTTCTATTAATTAAAACAGTGGCAGTGATGTACAAAGCATCCGACCGAAGACCTATTATTGTTTAAAAAAGAGTATCGCAAAGGCACCGCACCACTAAAATTCTCATTTGCCCCCTTATACTACAAAAAAATTGATGTTTTTAATAATGATTAATTAAATGTCCAATCTATTACTTTATCTAAGCATATCGTTGCGTTGGTTTAATCTGTCAGTTGTCAATTGTGCTTAGTCAATTGTCAGTATTTTAACGTTCAACTCTACAATTAAACCTGCAGTTTACACCTCTGTCGAGTGCCTGGCACTGTGCCAGAGTCGTTTAAGCCTAGGTATTCTGGGTCTAGACTTGTTTTAGTAATTTTTAATCGGTCGTTTTAACTAGAGCACACTGTTAGGTTAGAGAGGATTTTGTCTATGACGTTTGACTTTGAAGTCTTCTTTTTGTTATGTAACAGGGGGCAAACAGGCAGAAGGCTCAGGATGTTAAGTTATACCCGTGGACACATTGCCGGAAGGCTCGCAAGTCCGTTGCCGGCCTTAATATATAAAGGAATTTATTTATCAATAAGGAAACATGTCTGGCTCATGCAAGATATGTAAAAAATATACAATTTTGTCTATGAGGTTTGACTTTGAAGTCATTCTTCTTTTATTTTTTAACGGAGGGCAAACGAGCTAGAGGCTCTCCTGTTAAGTGATGCCCATGGTATGTGCGTTGTCAGCTTTTATATAAAAAAAGGGTGCGTGTACTTATGTACGCGCGTATGAAGTTATACTTCTTTGGCTTTCTATATTTTTTAAAAATATTAAATAATTAATAATAAATATTTTACGTTAATAATTTAATAATATTTAATATTTAGTATATTATTCAATTAATAATTAATAATAATAATTATTATTATTTATTATCTAATATATAAAATTCTCGTGTCGCGGTGTTTGTGGTTAAACTCCTCCGAAACGGCTCGACCGATTCTCATGAAATTTTGTGTGCATATTGGGTATGTCTGAGAATCGGACAACATCTATTTTTCATCCCCCTCAATGTTAAGGGTAGGCCACCCCTACTAAAATTTTTTTTTATTTTTAGATATTTTTTTCTGTTTTTTTTTTTTGATACAGCATTAAAAATACATAACCTCTCACCCTATTTTTTTTAAATGTTTTATGCAAAACGACGTTTGCCTGGTCATCTACTTATATTATATAATTCATTCAATTTAATAACTAGGTATGTTTCATAACCTTTTAACTAAGTAACAATAGGTCTTTGTGAAAAAACTTTGCTAAATTTCTTTGAAAAAATAATTAAAACTCCTTTATTTGTTTAAAATGTACTACAAAGGTTATTATGGTCATTCAAAATTTTGATGAGAGTGAAATTTTACGATGCGCGCGCACCGTGACACAAAATTAACAGAATGAAGTTAGTGGCGCATGTTGGCACGCACGCCGCCTCTGTTCACTGTGTATTTATATTTATAATATTTATCCATATGATTTGAGTTTCTACATTTAAAACACGTGTTTTCATTTTGTTTTCATTATACAAGTGCGAATTTTATATGTGCGTCTGAATTATAATCAGAAGTGATTTAAATTGAATATTTAAATCAATACTAATTAATATTAGAAAATAATAATAAATATTTATTTATTTAATTTTTCAAATGTAAACTGAACTTTATTGACTATAATGACTCCTTTTCCAGTCTTTGATTATTTAATTGTAATTAATTATTTGCATGCAATCAAAAACTATTTTTAATAATGCCAAAGAAGTATAACTTCTTACGCGCTTACATAAGTACACGTACCCTTTTTTTGTTTTAGATTTTTATATCAAATTAAAATAAAAGTCAATATTTTAAAGTATTATTATTTTACTTTTCAATAAAATGATATTGCGGGTATAAATTGAGATGTAAGCTATCCCATTCGGTTCATACATTTAACTAAATAATTCCTAATTCGGCTGTGTTGTGTGTGTGTACGTATGTGGGATTTGTCTCACTAGCCCCAAAGCTCAGAAGCCACTTATTCACTCGGTAAATCAAATAGAAATTAAAAACTAGCTAGTCTATCGCAAAAATAGCAATAAGTCTAGACCCTGAAGAGTGCTCAAATGATCTGGCGGGGCGCCAAAAATGACAGCTTAAGCGGTTATAATATTGTGTCATTTGTCAAAAACTTTAATCTTACCCTGACATCGATGTCAAGTACTTTTTAATACCCTGCTCATTTAAATAGTTTTAAATTCATACATATTATATATGTTACATACTTCCATCTTTTGGATTACTTGATACAACTATTAATTAAATTACAGGAACTCCTAGTAACCCTATCGACGCTGCTCCGCGGTTCGGTATACGAGCGCCTCCGTTGGGCATTTCGCCTCTACGACGTGGATGGTGATGGTGCGATCACACGACAGGAGCTGAGCGAGGTGGTGGTTGCTGTTCACGAGTTGTTAGGTCGACGGGCGCCACCTGGGTCACCAGCTTCGAGGATAGATGACGCTAAAGCTGCTGAACAGGTGCTTTTTTAGCTTGATATACTATGTGTAGATTCTTATAATCAGCAGGGCACAGAGTACCGTTAACAAAAACTTCGAACAAAGAGTTGTTATTTGAGTAGTGTTGGCCTAGTGGATTCAGCGTGCGACTCTCATACCTGAGGTCGTAGGTTCGATCCCCGGCGAGCACCAATAGACTTTCTTTCTATGCATTTAACATTTGTTCGAACGGTGAAGGAAAACATGGTGACAACCGACATGTCTTGGACCCAAAAAGTCGACGGCGTGTGTCAGGCACTGAAGGCTGATTAGGCAAGTCCTATTAGATTTAAAAATGATCATGAAACAGATTCAGAAATCTGCCCTGCGATTCTGTAACTCACTTTTCGATCTCACACAGCGGTTTTCGCATCGGCGGTCGCTCTCAAATCAGTCGTGAAGCAGTCATTTTATGATTAGGCATTCTGATAAGGTGGGAGCTTGTAGTTTATTGTTTATCAGAATGCCAAATTATAAAATGACTGCTTCACGACTGATTTGAGAGCGACCGCCGATGGGAAAACCGCTGTGTGAGATCGAAAAGTGAGTTACAGAATCGCAGGGCTGAGGCCGAGACCTAAAGAGGTTTTAGCGCCACTGATTATTATTATTCTTTATAGAAACGCAAACAGACAGACAGGCACACCGGATACTAAGTGGCACCCATGACGTTTTAAGAATTGGTACGGTTCTTGAGGGATTCTAATACGCATCTTTATGCACGTGTTTGCAGTAGCGACATATATGTTTAATACAAGCTTCTGTGACATCTTATAAATAAAATTCTCCTGTCACAGTGTTAGTTACCATACTACTCCGAAACGGCTTGACCGAATTTTAATCAAATTTTATATGCATATTCAGTAGGTCTGAGAATCGGCTACTATCTATTTTTCATACCCCTAAGTGATAAGGGTTGTCCACCCCTAACATTTTATTTTTATTTTTATGTTGCTAATTTCACCTAATTAATCTCTATATGTTAACTCTTATTTCGACAAGATAGTATATTTTTGTGAATAGATTCAAATTAGGGTCCTTAAAGAAAAGAGCGTACCGATTCTTAAAAGGCCGGCAACGCACTCGTGAGCCTTCTGGCATTAAGAAAGTCCATGGGCGGCGGGTATCACTTAAAATCAGATGAGCCTCCTGCCCGTTTGACCCTGTTCTATAAAAAAAATCTGTCAGGCTTTAAAAGGAGTAAAATAGCTAAAATGGCCGGCAACGCACCCGCGAGCCCTCTGACATTGAGATTTTCCATGTCCACTTAAAATCAGACGAGTTTTCCCGTTTTCGCCCTTTCATATAAATACATATTTGTTACTATTAAATATTTCCCGTATTCCAGGTCGACCGCGTGTTCAGAAAGTTGGACCTAAACCAGGATGGAGTCATCACCATCGAGGAGTTCTTAGAGTCTTGTCTGAAGGATGACGTCATCACTCGGTCGCTACAGATGTTTGACACGGGGCTATGACGTCAAAGTGACACACCGCCGCCTAGCACTAGGTATTAAAGAAATCTTTGATTTCCACAAACTACAAAAGTAGGTTTAAAAAAATTATCTCTGATTTCCAAAAACTACAAAAGTAGGTTAAAATTTTTTATCAGGTTTCCAGAAACTACAAAAGTACATTGAAAAAAATGTATTTAGTTTCCAGAAATCACAAAAGTAGGTTAAAATATTGTATCTGGTTTCCAGAAACTACAAAAGTAGGTTAAAATAAAATAATTTTATTTATTGTGTTAAAACACTTCGTGGCATGTACAGAAATATAATACAAATGACGTAATTAAATAAAAAGGAGGGCAACTGGCGGCCTTATAACTTTTGAGCGATCTCTTTCAGGCAACCACTGTAGCCACCAAACTTTTTTATTTGTTTTAATTGTCTATGTAAAAATATTTAGTTATTATTATTTCTATTTAGGTTAAGAATGTTGTAAATAGTGTATATTTGTGTGTTATAGATTACTCATTAGTTTCTAAATTGTTCTAAAATAGTTCGTCTTCTACGCTTTATTAAATTTCAATTGTCTTAAAGATTGGTGCGTCACTGCGAGTGCAAGCACGGATGGCTACACAACATGGCGGCCGCATACCGTCTACGTATCACACAGTACGCGCAGTACATCGCTGCAATAGAACGCTTCTATGTTCGTGTTCTACGTCCAAACATTCGTTCTGTACTCGTTTTACACTTCTAGATTTGTCTATGCTCTTGTCGCCACAGATTAATACAACTTATAATTTTATACGACCACAGATTAATGATTTGTTAGATTGAGTTAGATTATTAATAATATTACTAGAATGTTTCAAAGTAGATTGATTCACTTTATATAATATTGTTATATACAAAAGCTTATATATACTTATCGAAACGCCTTATCAGCGCATTTATGACAAGTTACATAATTGTCTATGTATCGTATAGAAATCGTTCGGAAACGTAAATTTTAACAATTAAGTAACCACCGACAACTTTCGGGCTCCATCAGAGGTAATAATAATGATGATTACTTCATAAGTCAAAGCTGAGAACCATCGCCATACCAACAAAAACGCGTCATAATTAATCTAATCATAGCAGCTATGATGCCACACAGTCGAACTTATATGTCTGCGTCGGCTCTTAGTAAATAATATAATTTACTAACACATAACATATTTTATACATAGGACCCCTTATAGCCTATAAACCGCGATCGGGCAGATCTGTGGCTGAGAAGTTAGACAGCAGCTATCGTCCCCTTTTCTAGGAAGGGACATTATGTATGGTAGATCTGGTTGGCGTCACCCGACAAGCGACGACTACTCCGGATATATCCTCATGATAGCGAGTCGGATATCGCTAATAGACTATTTACAACATAAATTAATATTTCCCTAAGTAAGTTACAATATACATCAAGCGAGTGTCATTGACAATTGTATGATGTAGTCTGTGCGTATTGCCAAATTATTGCCTTGTAAAAAATTTTGATGAACACCGTAATTTTAAAACGTTCTGAAATCTTGCGAATAACTTGGACGTTGTTAAGTTATTTGTAATGTAATTATAAGAATTAGGATGTTCGTTGTATGTGGAGTTTTCTGAATAATAAAAAAGTTCACAGACCGATATTTTTAGATTAGTATAGTCTGAGATAACTTGTCAAAAATTTTCGCGCGTTTTTTTGCGATAGACAACAACGTTATGATAGTCTGTGTTATTGAATTTAAAATTAAATCATACTAGTTTACATCCAAGCATTGGTTTACAAAAAAAGATTATATACATAAAACACATTGCTGGTTAAAATTCTAAGCGCATTTTAGAATAGTCCTTGTTTAATTCCGAGAAACAGGGTATTTTTTTGAAATTTGTCAAATTGAAATTTTGTATGCGTTTTCAAATTTTCCGACTTTCAGCTTACGTCCGACCTACCTCAGAGTCACCTACTTACACTTGATATGCATTACCGCTGAGACGCTAAAACTACGAAAAAACTAGGTATAAAGAAAACAGTAAATGAACCATAAACAATTGTATAGCCAGTCAACAAAAAGAACAATGAAATGGTGGACTTTATTCAGCTTTTTCTGTTCGGTGTAATAAATCATCACAGATTATATTGTTAATATCATAAGCTTGTCTGCCATCTCATTGTAATCTGTCTATTTTCATCACACTGTAAACACAATTGTATAGAAAGAGACGAAAGTATACTTTACACTTAATTTGTTTGAAAACAAACGACAAATTTTCAAACAAATTTAGTTTTTGACTTTCTACATACACTACTGTTAAGGCGTCTTGTCTAAGCCCCCAGGATGGTTTATTTTTCATCTCATACGGTAATTAAAAATACTTGTCTTATAAGCAGATTATATTATAGCCCCAATGCCACTATTAGAAATGTTATATCAATATTAATATAAATACAAAAATTTATGAGTATTTATTGAACGACGAAATCACCAGATCATATATTTGTGGCACTTTCAATTTTCGACTATAAATATGTTATATTTCCTCAAAACAATGTTATGTTTTAAAGTTTTATCTACTAAATTTATGTTCCTGTAAGTTAAGCTATATTTGTAGAATTTTGTTGATATCTTCGCAAAGTTTATTGTAGTTTTGTAAGCATTTGAGTGAGATACATACATAGGTAGATTAGGGTGAGAGTCAGCAAAGAGATTTGGCGCGAAAAACTCACGTATGTTAAAATATGACATATTACGCAAGCATGACAACAAGACTGTGGAGAAAAATCACTCAGTGGATACTTTCAGCAACTACATGGCGGACTCATACGACTTCTTCAATGTAATGGGTCCCTTCGGAACTCGTGTGGTATATTGTGGGGTATTTGATCGTGAGAAAGTTGCATGGATCTAGTCTGGCACCTTCTTAAGTTCTCATGTAATTTTTAGACGTGTATATCCTTTCTATAACATATTGTGTATAACATAGTGAAACTTCTAATGCTACTTCCAACAAGGTCGCGTTAAACGCTTAACGCTCCTGGGGAGGGGGAATAGAAAGAGACAGAGAGAGATTGAATGCTTCCTATTTTCATTTCCACATTACGAAATTTCACTTTCTCCGCGCGGAGAGACTCCACACACTATTTTTTTGACTCACGGACGTCATAAAGTCAGAATTAGCACTTAGTCACGTTTCTGACTCTCCCCCTAAAGGCTAAAACTTAATTTCCATAACATTTGTCAATTTGACAAGCTGCTTGAGAACTGTCAAAATGACAATATAAGACACAGTGATTGGACAGATTCAACTAAAAATAAAAAGGAGGTTGTATTGTTATTTGACAGATTGCTGTCAGATTCGTCTTAAAATATAAAGGAGGTTGTAATTTCTAATGTCAGAGATTTCTTTTTCAATTGTTCCCATTTAATTCAATGCGTGTGCGTGTTTCAAAACATATCTTGTGTTAATGTTCGTAAATGCAATTATTACCATATCATAATTATAAGTTTATTTATTTTAAGATTTCTCTTTAGTCTCTCCTCTAGCAATAAACGACAATTATTTTAGATTAGTCAAATGTACAATAATTTTACGTACGAATAAGGCGTGTAATTTTGTTTATTAAATTATAGCGTCAACTTAAAAATTTATCAATTCGTAATCATTTTCAAATGGTAAGGAGGTAAATTTGGCGCGAATCTAGACATCTGTCAAAGATAATGTTAACAGTGGACAGGTTCAGCCAATACTTTGGGACAGGTGTGAGCTACCGTGGTTATAATTGAGATTTGAGAATGACACGACGCTTTCGCTTGATTACGTGATGATTTGCACAGATAGTTGGCGGATATCGCGGACTTGAAACAAAACCGCGCGAACCTTCGATTACAGTTTTTTAATCACATTACATAAATTACACGTTTTATATTAAAATCTTTTGATTAGAAAAATTTAGTAAACACATTTTTTAGCTTTTGCTTTAGGTACAAGACCTTAAAATTAAGACTGAGAAAGAAGAATCTAAATTCTCGGTTTTTAGTGACCTCTAGGCCTAGTGATGTCTAGCGTTAGTTTCTTGTTACACTTTAAAATATAATGTTCAAAAATAGTATTTGAAAAATAAATTTAGAATCGATTTCCCCGCTTAAAACAACAGAATACGTTGGTAAATCAAATATTTATTGTTATTACGAAATTTTATTTATACAATATACATGTCTACACATGGTTTTGCTCGCTACAAAAATCATAATCACAATAGAAAAGGGAAATAAAATAATAAAAAAGTCTAGTCAATAATATCGTTTCTGTATAGTAAAGAAAATATTAGACATAGTTTTGTTATTCATATGAAAAGTGGTGTGAAAATATGGTCAATTTTATAACCTTTTAAAAAGAAAACAGTTTCTGTCAATGTCATAGGTAAATGTTTCCTAATCTGTGGACGGATTCAAAGTAATAACATAATTATGTAATGCATAGGTTAAATGTTTAAATATTTTGCTATTTTATAAATGTTTTGTGATTTTTTTTGTTTATATGTTTATTTTCCCGCCATTTTTTATGTGAAGATAATTTAGACTTTAAAGTGAAAAATTCGACGAGCTCCTTGTTATTCTATATAAAATAAGAATTCTTACTATTGCTATTTTAATAAGTTAAATAAATCCGAATTAAGATATAATTAATTATAAACGTCCACCAAATTGTAAATGCTTTACAGCAATTATTATAATAATACACAATTTAAAATGTCATGATTAAATTATGTATTCGAAGCGATATTAAGAATTCTTTAAGGTATAAATTTATAATTATTGTAAATAATGTGTCGCTGTGTTAATTGAACACGTCCACGTTAAATATAGTAAAAAATTTCTTCATGTTTATATGTGTTTTATTTCCTGTGCGCCATCTTTTAATTTGACGACTAGACTAGAAATGGATCTGAAAGTACGATTCCACTATAATAGGATGCAGCACATTTGCTTACAAACATTTAGTGCAAAATAATAGCAGAACACGTACTAAGCACGTAGCGCCTTTGGCTTCTGTTCCCACCAGCAATACTGTGGCCGGTGTGTAACTTTTGTGCGCGTATAGTATTGCACACTTGTTCACTGAGAAGATTTTCTGTCAGTTGGCAATATGGACGGGCAGGTAAACGTTGTGCTTTGTAATATATCCTTGATCATCACTTGGCATAGTGTGCGCACAATGAATTGTATTCGATTTGGTAGGGAAAGCAAAACTGAGTTTCTTGTACCGTGAGCGCGAACTTTGCTAAAATATTTCGCGCACAATTTGTTATTGTACGCTTGAGTGAGTTGACCAAAACAAACATTTGTGCCGTACGCTGTGCAACACTGTGTCGCACATTTCAGCACAGTGCGCACTGGTGGAATCGTACCTTCAGTATCTCTCTGAAATCTATAGTTCTGTTCGTGTCAGTAAATTTTTAATACTTTTCTTTTAAATTAGTGCGAAGCTTCGTTACACTGAATTTAAGTGCTTCCTAATTCCTAGTATTTTTAAACTGCCTTAAAGAACGGTCAGTATGGAACAACGGACGTCGAGGTGATACGGATGATATTTTGTATTCTGCCTTGCCGTCCAATAATGAAACACAGCTGCAGGTATTAAAATGCTTTGGGTTTTCTGTAATACTTTACTTTTTTTACGTCTAAAGATATCCTCGGCCTATGTTAGGGATTACGGCCTACAATATTTGATGGTGCTATGAGACATAAAAAGCGGGCCGCGCCGCTTATCCGAAAATATTTACAGGCACAGTGCCTATTTATTATTGTTATGTCATATGATGTCAATGTTTGTCAGATGTCAATTAATATAAATCAATTGATTGAATGAAGGCAAAAACGTCAATCTCTGACATTTGTCTAAGTCAACCCAAGGTGTATTAAGTATTTGTTTTCGTAAAGTTTTGAATGCCATAATGAGAAATCATTTATATTTAATAAGATAAGATCGTCTTTAAAATGTCGAAAATAGCAAATGTTGTTGATGGCGAAGCTTCAGAATCAGATTCTGAAGTTGAAATTGAAATAGGAAGATCTCCAGTAAGGTTTACCTTGTACTTAAATTTTTACAAATTTGGTTTGTTACAGAATAACATTTATTTCATGTCTTATTAAATATTTATTTTATAGGATATATTACCGGTGACCAAAGGTTTTGTAATATCTGGCGAAGCGCCTGAATCTGATGATGGTATATTCTAAAACTTTGTAAATTTTGAGTACAGTACTTAAATATCTGATATTTTATTCATATACTTTCTTTATTGGGTTAAATACAGAATCAAAGCTTCCTTCACCGTCAGCTAGAATTGAGGTTGACTCGCCACTACATATTTCTATGTATCCTCCAAAATCACCAACTAAGATAATGTACAAATCTCTACTTCACCAAAAGTTATGTAAGTATCAATTCCAAGTTACAATCTTGATTTTAACATATAATTGACCTATGAAATTTAATTTTTAATAGTTAATAAAAATATTAAACAACAATAAAACCTTGTGTTAAATTTTACTTAACTTGAAATATTTATATATATTTTAACAAGTTTAAATATATTAAGAAATATTTGTTTCAGGGGAGTGTAATGTATCATTTCGGGCATCCCTCGAAGGGCTAGTCGGACAGACAACCGAGTTAGCAGTTGATAAACTTACCAAGGCAGACAAAACATTACTGAATGTCCAGGTAAAAATGTTTCTTTTATTTCATCACTCAAACATATTATGTTGATGAACATATAAATTCACTTTGTTTAGATTCAAGCTAACTATAATTTTTAAAGTGAAACTTCTTTATCGAGGTTGGAAAAAAATTTAGTGTAAAATTTTTTCGTTACGCGTCACATTTTTCGGTTACGCGCCATGTTGCTTTTTGAAGTCAAACTTCTTTATCGGCGTTGGAATGAAACTTCTTTATCGACGTATGGGAGAAATTTTGTTAATGAAATTCTATAATAATCTTCGTAGTAATAAGGTAAAATGAAATATTTGTATTCATGTCTATGATAATAAAAGCCTTTTGTTAAACTTTATCTAATTTAACGAATTTCTGTAAAGTTGCATATAGTAGATCATTTTTCGAAAAAATAAGATCATAAAGAAGTTTCACTTCTTACGTGTGTACACCTAGTACACAATTTATTCATATGTTTGACTTTTACATTAGTTTGGTCAATAGTGTTTTCACACATGTAAATAGTATAAACATCATTTTCAGGAAAGCATGAGGGCAACAAATGCATCCCTAGCATTGGCTAAAGCGAGATTAAAGCAAATACAAGCAGAGCTGGTCAAAGTTAACTGCAGTAGTGCACTTCCCAATGTTAAAGCGAAATAGTGCCTACTATCAAGGATATAATTTTCATACATTCCCAAATTTATATTGTAAGTGCTTTTTGAGCAAGATTTTTTTATATAAAACTTATATATATTGTTACAAGGCTTTTAAACTGTAAATGGACCTTCCTAGTGTTAAATGTAGTTCTTAAGATTAGATTAAAATATCTAATTGGTTATTGGTATACTATAACAACGAAGAAGAGAACACTTTATTTCGTCATTATGGGCTCTTTGCTACTCAGTTAACCATAAATTTCACTACCCATTTATAAAATTAAAGGTGTGATTGTAAAGAAAAGAAAATAATGTGTGACTGATCCCAGTTGCCATATCTGCTATTAGTTACAAATCATTCATAAATTAGTTGCTATCCCTGAATTCGGTGTTACATTTGAAGTATGCTTTCAAGGGACATATTTGGTTGCTATAGGTAAATGCTAAAACAAGATAATGATTAAAATCCACTATACAGTGCCACATTCTTTTCTTGGCCGGCAGTTGAAATTGGTACTACTGTTGCCATTTTGGTGCATATAATAAATAATAAATTCAACTAAAATGTATTTATTTTTATTCCTTGCATTATTAATTACAATGGCAAATCTTTAATTATCGGTTTTGATTGCATCTTAAAATATATTATATTAATAGTAATAACAAAACCTATCAGATCCGTTGTTCTTAAGTTTGTGTCAAATTAATTAAGGCAAACTGTATTTTCTAGATACTGATTTATTAAGACGTTGAAATAAATTATTAAGTAAGCCTGAATGACTTGAAATTATCATGATTAATTTTTATTTACTGGCAATATTGAGTATGTAAAATTGTAGTTTAGTTAAAATGTTAATAATTATATTAGTTTTGGTGTAACCAGAGTTAAAATGTTAAAAAGTGATGTGCGCATTTTCAAATAAAATTAATATTGGCACTACAACACTTTAAGCTCTGGGCCTCAGACTTCTCGGTTTCATTATCATTTGTCAATATAGGAAATTAGGTGATCGGCCTCCTGTGCCTGACACATTTGACTTTTTGGGTCCTATAGCCGGTTTCCTCTCGATGTTTTACTTCATGCAAGCAAATGTTAAATGCGCACATAGAAAGTCCATTGGTGCAAAGCCGGGGATCGAACCTACGACCTCAGGGATGAGAGTCGCACGCTGAAGCCGCTGCTTATCTTACAAATTAAATATTTATTAAGCTTTCGTTTGAGTTTCAGCTCAAATATACCAAAAAGCTAATATTTTAAATAAAAAATTGTAAAAATAAAACATTTTTTTATTTAGCTCCATTTATTCCTTATTTTATTCCGAATCACTTGAATCCGACGCGGCCTCCTCCACGTGAACATTGAACTTGTATTCCTGATCAGCGCCCAAATATGCGTCTGACATGAAGTATAGTGTGTATGTGTGTGTGCCCGCACTCCCACACACAAAGTCCAGCCGAACGTTCGCTGATCGACCGAGTGACACTCGTTTTATAGATAGAAGTGTGTTCGATTTCGGGTCACCTATGACTACCCACCAGCCCTCTTCGCGTTTCTATAAAAAAATTGAAAATCAATATCTTTTAATTAAAACAGTCCCATTACACACATGTAAGGGCCTGATTGAGCCTTGACCATGCGAAGCAAAAATATTTTAAACTAATTAAATCATTTTACAAGTTCCCTTTAAATGTAATAATAATAGGTGTTTTAAAAAATATGTTAGTGAGAATAATCTGTATAAAGCTTTAAAAGGAGTAAAATAACAAAAGGCCGGCAACGCACTCGCGAGTCCTCTGATATTGAGGGTCCATGGGCGATATCACTTATCAGGTAAGCCTCCCTACCCGTTTGGCCCCTGTTCTATAATACAAAACATTAAACTATATAAAGGAAGGCAACGCACTCGCGAGTCCTTTGGCATTAATTGTGTCCATGGGCTATATCGCTTAACATCAGGTGACCGTCCTGCCTGTTGTCCCCTGTTCTATATGAAAAACTTCAACTTTCAAAGTCACGTGACAAAAACGATGACGTAACACGTACATGTCACAAATAAATGACTAAAAAGCCACTGACAGCTGTAATAAAACGTAAAAATATTATTTTTTACCTGTGGGAAGAATGGCGCTATAACTGGTCCGATGACGTCATCCTCTCTCTCTAATGTCACTTCCACTATAATCGGTTTTCCCGCGCGAAGGCGTCTTTCATTTTGGACCTAATTAAAAAAGTTTAAGGTTTCGTTATTTAGATTAAAATTATTAATTGACGTTTATATAACGACTTATAAATATATGAACGAGTAAAATGACTAATTGTCACGTTACGCCTGAGCCGCGCGTAACATGACTCATTGTCACGTTCAACCTGAGCCGAGCGTTACATGACTAATTATCGCGTTCCACCTGAGCCGAGCGTAACACGACTAATTGTCACGTTCCACCTGAGCCGAGCGTAACATGACTAATTATCACGTTCCACCTGAGCCGAGCGATACATGACTCATTGTCACGTTACGCCTGAGCCGAGCGTAACAAGACTAATTGCCACGTTCCACCTTAGCCGAGCGTAACATGACTAATGACGTGCAAGCTAGAGCGCGAGAATGTATTAATTCAATTAAAATCTCACCTGATAATTCAACTCGACATTTGGATATCTGTTACAGAATCTTGCAACGTCAGCCATTTCGCTCGCAGACAACTGCAATAACTTCGCACGGGCGTTGTCTTCCAACTCCATAACGTCGAACACCGTTTCCACGCCCTTTAATACAAATCTCAAGTCAATTTACTGTCCTCAGACGGAGAAAAAGACTCTTCTCTTTTTTTCTCGTAACGCTTTACTTTCTCAATTTAATGTGTAATAAAAATCCTCCTACAAAAATTATATACAAAATATTAAGTAATTCGTCACACATACACACATAAACACGCATAGACACACCAATATTTTACAAGTGTAGGCCATTTATCGCAATTCTTTAATCATACATTTATATACTGCTCAAAACAATTAGCGGAACAAGATTATTCTCCTTTCTATTGCTTAAACTAAAATTAGATTTAAATTAACTTGTACGCTATTTTTTACCTTGTTAATTTGTTAATTACTACAATTAATAAAAAAATTCAATTTGTATTTTTTTTTTTTTTAAATTAAAATGTGCATTGTAGACGAAAAACAAAGTGACGTCTTTGAATTTTCATTACTTTCTAATCACAGAAAACACATTTTAAGTAGTTTTTTTCAATCTTTTGAGTATTAATAGAAATTGAAGTGAGCCTTTTGAGTATTGTTATTCATTGAAGCGAGTGAGTTTAGGTCATAATGCCAGATCTGACTGAATTGCATGTCTCCCGAGCTATCGCTTTGCTTGAAGAGGGTCGAACTATGCGTTATGTAGGAAATGATCTAGGAGTAGCCCCTTCTGTTATCTACAGACTTTGGAAGCGATACCGTGAGACGGGAGAATACTCACGAAGGCGTGGTCAAGGTCGAAAGAGAAAAACTACACGTTTGCAAGATCGCTACATCGTCAACTGTGCTTTACGTAACCGCACCACAACTGCAAGAGATCTACAAAATACACTAAGGACGGCTACTGGTGTAGAAATTTCCGACCAGACGGTAAGAAATAGGTTGTTGGAAGCCAATTTGAGATCACGCCGACCAGTTCGGGCTGTGCGTCTAACAATTCAACATAGACAAGCTCGCCGACAGTTCGCGTAAAATCACGCTAATTAGCAACTTCGACATTGGAGGCCAGTGCTTTTTACTGACGAATCACGATTCCGTCTAACACGATGCGATGGTTGTCTCCGTGTTTACAGACGCCCAGGCGAGCGATACAGTGCAGCAGCAGTCCAGGAATATGACTAATTTGGATGTGGCTCTGTGATGGTTTGGGGCGGAGTTAGTTTGGACGAGCGCACAGATCTCTTCGTTGTTCCCGGGCGCTTGTGTGCTCAAACTTACATTGAAAATGTGCTCGAAGATCATGTTTGGCCCGCAGCATATGGTATGGGCCCAGATTTTCTTTTAATGCAAGATAATGCCAGGCCGCATACTGCAGCCATCGCGTCAGATTACTTACGACAGCAGGAAATCCGTGTAATGGAGTGGCCTTCCATGAGCCCTGACCTAAATCCAATTGAACACATTTGGGACTTGCTTGACAGGCGCATCCGGAAGCGTCCGATTGAAGAATGGGAGCGAATTCCATAAGAAGATATTCGGAGGATCATACGAAGCATGCCGCGTCGTTGTCAAGCCGTGATTAGGGCTCATGGAGGCCACACACGTTACTGAAAGTCACTAAAGACGAATATTCAAACGATATAAGAATATTTCTTTGATGGACCTTTTTTATCACCAATTAGTTTTTCGTCTACAATGCACATTTTAATTTTTTTTTAATAAATTTTTTTTATTAATTGTAGTAATCAACAAATTAACAAGGTAAAAAATAGCGTACAAGTTAATTTAAATCTAATTTTAGTTTAAGCAATAGAAAGGAGAAAAATCTTGTTCCGCTAATTGTTTTGAGCAGTATATATTAATAACTGAAAAAAAGGGCGTACAAAGTACACACGTCAGAAGTGAAACTTCTTTGGCAAACTAATTTTTAACTCTTGTTCATATTTATACAAATCTAAAACTTTAGATTTCCGAGACTTAGAGGGAGGGAAAAAGGAAGATATGTTAGGAATTTAATGAATTTAATTGTCATTAAAATAATAAAAACACGTGGCAATTTTAATTTCCAATTTGTCATTTGAGATTTAAAATATAAAATACTAATATTTCATAAATTCTCTTTCCGAAATTTTAATTTAAGAAATATAATTTCTATAAGGTAATTCATCCTTCTCACTCTCTCAATCGCTCTCTCCCTTTTCTTCGACAAAAACGCTGCACATCTTCGTGACGTGCCGTAAAAATGTTACCCCATGAGGGTAAAGTAGTTTCGCTTCAAAAAACCATTGAAGAGATCTACGGCG